TCATCACACCTTCCTCTGCTAGGGTGAAGCTTCCTCTACCCTGTTTCCCTTCCCAGGTGGTTCTCAAGCCGAAAATTCAACTCCAAGTCTTCTCTTTATTAAGCTGCCTGGACTCCTACAGCTTTTCGACCTACGCCACCCTTCAGCCATTCTTCTGGCCCTTCCCCAAATCAGCTTTTTTCTTCCCCCTCCCCAGTTTCCCCCTTCGAGACGGTGCCGATCCCAACTGTTCTTCCAGACCCAAACTGGGCCTTTTTAAACACACTTTGACACGAGCTAAGCCAGAACCTCTTAACACAGCAGCCACGCCCTCCCCTAAAGCACCACCTTTCCTCGATGGCAAAACTGGAACGTGGACCCCTGAGCCACGGGAGCCCGCAGGCACACGGCTGTCACCCACCTGCTCAGATCTGGGTTTTGCGTTAAGGCCACATATGCTTCGCTGTTGTGTCCTAAATCCAAGTGATGTTTGAAGATGCAAGTCCTCAAAGTAGCCTAAAAAAGAGCACAAACCAGCATGTTTCGAGTTCTAAGACTCAAAACAAAAATTCCTGTGTAAGTTCCCCAAAGAAACATCGACGCAAGAGCGACCTGTACCTGGCTTCTCCAGTCATCTGCCGACTCCATGATGGCCAGGGTGGCCAGCTGGATGACCAGCTCCGGTAAACCCACCATGTCCAACAAGCGCAGAACCTGGAGAAGACAATACTCTAGTTTCTTCTCCTACTTCAGTACTACTCTTAACGCAGCAGTACCGAAGAAAGGGTTGGGTTGGCAAGGGGGGAGGTTTTTTCTTGTTTGTTTTCCAAGAGCTGCTCCTGCCTCTACTAACCATAAAAGCGGTCAAAAAGATTTTGCCAACGTTTCTAAGCGATTAGACTGAAAAAGGGAAGGTTTTGGTAAGTCGCAGGGGTCGGAACCAAATCCCAGCACACAACAGGCCCAGGCTACGGCTTTTCTGGAGGATTCATCTCTGCACACGTGAGTTTTCTGAATGTTTTAGGGTTGGCAGGTACAGCAAACCCCTGCGACAGAGGCACGTGATTCTGTCCCCAAGCACGCACAGAGCTGTAGGAGACAGAAGTTCCCTCTCCAAGGGCACCTGACAATCTTTGTGTCTTCTGGATTTTCAAAAAAAATCAGGGAATCCCTTACAACGGTCCCAGCTTGCAGCCTGACTGAACTACGGTATTATGCAAGGCGAAAGATCCTATCTCAGTCTCAAGGCATTCATTTTAATTTGCCTCAAAGCTTAATAACCTTCCCCTGAAGCAGCATCTTACGTCGAGCCTGGACACGTCCAGCTTCTGCCTCCAGCAGCTGGGTCTCACCCTGCCTTTTTTTTGCTGGCCAACAAAGCCCTCTGCTGCGAGGAAGCTCACCGGTGGAAAGCACCGAGCTCTCACGCTGCGGTCACCTCAGCATCACCCCCCCCCAAGAAAAAGTCAACAGCCTTTGTAAACCAAACCACGCACGCCGGGCCGGGCGCAGCCGTACCTTGTTGTAGTACTGCAGGCGTGGAGTGGAGACCATCTCGCCCTCCTCAGGCTGGATCAGCCTGTCCAAGAACTCTTCTCTTCCCACCTCCGATGCAGCTTGGCAGAAACAGTCCAGAGCCTGGAAGCAGACCAGAGAGCAGCTTGCCTGTGCCCCTCGGGGGCTCACCCAGCCCGCCGCGCCGCTCGGAGGACAGCGCTGCCCGTTCCAGCTCCGGTGGAGACCTGCTGGCCCCAAGCGAACGAGAACTTCCCCAAGAGCAGATCCCACTGCCCCAGCTCCAACCCCATTCTTTGCCCAAAGCAGGCAGAGGTCGAGACGGACGTTTCCTTGACTTGCACAGCAGGAACAAGGCTGGCCCGTCCTGTGCCACCCCTCGCTCCCGAGGGAAAAGGTCCCAGACGCCAGGAAAAGGCAAGGACGGAGACGAGGCCCTTACCTTGTGCCCCTCACCCATGACAAGGTAGCACCGGCCCATCATGAAGCAGCAGGAGCCCATGTTCACGTGGCACCACGGCTGCAGCAGGCGAATGTATTCCTACGGGAGAGGAGGAACGGGCGTTTCGATTCGGGTCCGCCCGCGCCCGG